CGACAACAGGTAAGTCTCTCTCTCTCTCTCTCTCTCTCTCTCTCTCTCTCTCTCTCTCTCTCTCTCTCTCTCTCTCTCTCTCTCTCTCTCTCTCTTACTGCTGCACGTACATCTACACACACACACAGAGGTCACATGATCTCTCTCAGAATGTCCTCTCCCCTCTCTCTCAGCTACCGTGCTCGTGGCTATGGCGCCCTGCACTGTCCACTACTTGCTCACCACACACTGCTCATCCAACCAAGATCTTGGTCGTTGAATAACGATCCCGCGCTCCCGCATGAGCTGAATGAAGAAAGAGGCAGCTCCTGCCTGCCAGGCTGCCTTTGTCCTGTGCGGGGTGTTCCTGCCAGGCCCTGCCGCGATTGACAAAGATTCGGACTGTTGTGGGCCTTCCCTGGGACTGAGCTATGACACTGACACCGGGACTGGACATGTCGCGACTCCCTATGGACTGATTTCTAGGAACATCTAGTGTTCCTAGGCATTATCCTACTGGGTCTCTATTCTCTCGCCTACAGTATTCTCTATGCTACAGTATCTACCGGGAAGACCTAAGTGCAACACTATGATACAAAAGAGAATGGGACGCAGCACTGCCCTAGTGGGGGCGGGCTGCTCAGGCATGTGAATCCTTCGACTTCCGCCGGCCTAATTTTGAGGTCCTCCGAGAAAAACTACTTCTTTGGCTAAGCCTGCCTGGTGAAATCAAGCAATGCCTATATGGCTATAAGAGTTTGGCAATGGTGGTTTGCATTCGCTGTCAAGACTTGCTTAAGAAATGGTTCATCGGATTGAGAGCACGGTGACAGCATTAGGAGTAATCTACCTGTCAAATTCACAAATCCCCCCCTACATGCTTGCTCATAGTGTGAGACAATGCAAGGTGCTGTCTCATGAAGTCACTCTTTGGGGAACCACCTATCCTCCTCCGGGTCTTGGTATTGCCATCAGACTCTAAGCTGTTGACTCGGTCTCCCCCACCTACCGGTTCTGAGCTCCACCTGATCCACGATGCCGTCAATATCATAGTTGCCATCCATATCAACGGGATCATTGATCTAAGTGAAGGGAAGGATTGTCCTGAGTTAACAGGCAACAACTTTGAAGCATGGAAGACAGGATACGTATGAAGATGTCGTTGAAGATTGATGGTATAAGATGTACCGTCATCAGCATCTCCCTTTACATCTAGGACTTCCCATGGTCCTCTGCACACGGGGCTAGCAATGTCTCAGAAACTCTTCCTCTTGCACAAATTCCTTCGACTTGACCCGCACTAAGTTACCAACTGCAAACTTCGACAGTCTACGGTGCTTATTAGAGTGCTCCATCATTTTGAATTGGGTGTGTCTAATGTTCTCCGTGACGTTTTGCAAATCTTTCCCTACTTCAGTGCAAACTCATGGGTGCCCGACAGTAATCTCATAATCTGATCCAGATTTAGACCATCCATCGGTCTGTATGGCTTCCACCTTTGTGCAACTCGCAATTTCATGAGCCAAACCTTTATGCAAAGGGCTGGCCTTGGCACACAAGTTCGGAGGAAGGCAAACCCGACGGCGATCAAGTTGGCGGACGGAAGGACGCAACAACTTATCGACCGTTACATTGAGGCCATACCGGTGTATTTCGCACCTCATGCATGCGGACCGGTGATGTTCGACATTTTGGATACAGACTTCTATATCATTTTGGGAATGCCTTGGCTTGCAAGTGCAGATCACACGGTCAACTCCCACTGGTGGACTCTTACCGTCCGGGACGCCCTCGGCGCCGAAGTGTCGGGTACTATTCCTCTTCCGCAGCCTTCGATCCAGTGCCAAGTGGTGACGGCCAAGTCGTTCTAGGCTACTTGCGCTTACGATCAGCCCGACGAGATAGGCCTATGCTTCCTACGGACCGTCGCAGTAGCCGACTCTTCCCCCACGGACTTGTCTTCGGACCCTCGTGTGGTGCGGTTGCTTGACGAGTTCACCGACATCTTCGAGTCACCTACCGGTGGTGCCGGATCGGCCGATCTCTCACGAGATCATTCTCGAGGCCGGTGCCGTGCCGCCGAAAGGTTGCATTTACCGCATGAGAGAGGAGGAGCTTACAGTCCTCCATGCGCAACTCGATGACTTATGGGACAAGGGCTGGATCCGCCCTAGTAGCTCCCCATATGGAGCACAAGTTCTCTTCGTACGGAAGAAGAACAAGGATCTACGATTGTGCATCGACTACTGCAAGCTCAACGCGCAAACCGTCAAGAATGTTGGGCCTCTTCCTCGTATAGACGACCTCCTTGAGCGATTGGGTGGCGCGAAGTACTTTTCTAAGTTGGATCTGAAATCAGGATACCATCAGATTTCGATCCGGCCGAACGATTGCTATAAATCCATGTTCAAGACACGGTACAGGCATTTTGAGTGGGTGGTCATGCCTTTTGGCCTCACCAATGCCCCGGTGACTTTTCAAGCGGCAATGACCAACGAGTTTCGTGCGATGTTGGACCAGTTCGTGCTGGTCTACTTAGACGACATTCTCGTCTATAGCCGGACATTGGAGGATCATCTTGAGCACCTTCGACGAGTGTTGGAGACGCTCCGCCGCGCCAAGTACAAAGCCAACCGCGACAAGTGCGAATTTGTCCGGCAAGAGCTGGAATACTTGGGCCATTTTTTCACACCGGAGGGCATTAGTCCGTTGTCGGACAAGATTCAAGCCATCCACGAGTGGCCGGAGTCGCGGAATGTCACGGATGTCCGTTCGTTCCTTGGCCTTGCCGGCTACTACCAACGTTTTATCAAGGGATACTCGAAGATCGCGGCCCACTTCACCAAGCTTCAATGCGAGGATCGGTCGTTCGACTTCGGGGAGGATGTGCGAGAATCATTATTGGCTCTCAAAGCTGCATTATTGTCTGTGGAGGTCTTACGAATCTACAACCCGCTATTGCCAACGCGTGTTACTACGGATGCGTCCGACTATGACATTGGTGTTGTCCTCGAACAACAAGATGGAGTGGACTGGCACCCGGTCGAGTATTTCAGCAAGAAAGTGCCCGTCGTGCACTCCATTAATGATGCACGCAAGAAGGAGCTCCTAGCCTTCGTCCACGCGCTCAAGCCATGGCGGCACTTCCTCCTTGGTCGAAGTCAATTCCGATGGGTAACGGACAACAATCCGTTGGTCTTCTACAAGACCCAATACACCGTCAATAGCACCATCACCCGTTGGATGGCTTTCATCGACCAATTCGACTTCTTTCGTGATCACATTCTGGGGAAGTCTAACCGTTTCGCGGATGCTCTTTCACAGCGTTCGGATCATTGTACCACAGTCTATTCGACCTTCGAGATCGACGACGACCTGCGGGACAGCTTCATCAGCGGCTACCAAGCCGACCCCGAGTTTCGCGACAAGTACGCGAATTGCTCCTCTCCTAATCCGACGCCTTCTCACTATCGGATCCAAGAGGGGTACTTGCTTGTCCACACAGGGGGGAAGGACCTTCTTTGCGTACCGAGTGACTCTCACTTGCTTGTCAATCGAACGATTGGCCGACTTCGCAAGTGCTTTTGGTGGCCCGGCCTTCTCGGCGACGTCACACGCTATTGCGAGTCATGCGAGGTTTGCCGACGCTGCAAATCCCACAACCATCGTCCGTACGGCGAGTTGCGACCATTACCGGTCCCCTTGCGCCGGAGGGAAGCGATTGCCATGGACATTACCGGGTCGTTCCCCATGCACAAGACCGGTGTGGATGGGATTCTCACGGTGGTCGACTGACTCACCAAGTTTGTCATGTTTTTGCGTTGCCGCTATCATGCCAAGGCACCAGAGTTGGACGAGGTTCTTCACGCCGGTTGGATTCGGACCAAGGGTTACACCAAGGAAATCGTCTGCGACCGCGACACTCGGCTCATGTCCGATTTTTGGTTGGCGCTCATCAAACGATGGGGCTCATCTCTCAAGCCAAGTTTGGCTCGCCACCCCCAAACCGATGGCCAAACGGAGAGGGCGCATCAGACCGCACATGTTCTCCTTCACACTCTCATCCGTCCCGACCAAAAGGATTGGGTTGAGCGGCTGTCGGATGTCGAGTTAGGATACAACTCGTCCATCCACCCGACTATCGGGATGTCACCCTTCGAGTTCGATCACGGCTTGCCGGTCACTTCTCCGTCGGACACAATCATTCCACGAGCGGCTGGGAGTGACGACCATCTTCTTTAATTGCATCGGGCACACGACCAGATGGCTAAGACGCAGCAACACATGAGCCAACAGGCCAATCGCCAGCATCTTCCTTGTCCATTCCGCGCCAGCGACCTCATTTGGGTTTCCGCCGCGGACTTCAGCCTCGAACAAGATATCTCTCGCAAGCTCCTCCCGAAATGGATGGGGCCCTGGCCGATCGTGGCACCCGCTGGGGATGCACCCGGAGGACCTTCCTTCATCATTCAGGTGCCCGCCATCTTGCCCGTCTACCCGGTCTTTCATTGCTCCAAGTTGGCTTTTTACACGCTAGCGGAACATGACGACTTTCCCGGGCGACGATCGCAAGACCCACCCTCTATGGACGGTTTTCAAAAGGTCGGCGACATCATCTCCCACCGACGCCACGGCAACAGGCCGACCGAATACTTGGTACACTTTGCGTACTACACCCACAAAGTTGACCGTTGGTTGACCCGTGCGGAACTCCAAGCAACAGCTCCAGATGTTCTCACACGCTACGAACGCAAGATGCAAGGCAAGTCGGTATCTTCGGCTCCACACCGCACCCGCGTCCAGGTTCCACCTTCAGATCGTCAGCTTCGCCCTCGACCTGACTTGACTTCATAAGGAGGGGGGGTGTTACATGTTGCGCCTGCAACATGAAAGCCTGAAAACAAGGGCCTACAGGCCCTGTGTCGCTTCAGCCTGAAAGCATGAAAACAAAGGCCTATAGGCCCTGTGTCGTTTCAGCCTAAAACAGGGCCCTCCAGGCCCTGAGTCTTTTCAGCATGAAACGGAGGGCCATTTTCAGGCCCTCATAAGATCGACCTGCCCTAAAACTTAGGCACCAGACCAGGGTTTTAGCACAGACCATTTTGAGCTTGTTTTCAAGACAACCTTTGTTTGAACTTCAACGCCAGGGTCTGGCACGTTTTGGCATTGGCAAGAGCAGCCTCCTGGACAGGCCAGCACTATATAAGACTGGCCCGCCCTGCAGGCTGCAGGTAGCTCATAGGGACTTCCCAGGCAGTTCACGGGCACTTCACATGCAGGAGGCAGGAGGCAGTCTTCAGCATTCGGCAGCAGCACTCTGGAGGAGCGCTGCAGTAGTAGTAGCTAGCGCTAGAGTAGTCTTCAGCACCGGAGAGAGAGAGAGAGAGAGAGAGAGAGAGAGAGAGAGAGAGAGAGAGAGAGAGAGAGAGAGAGAGAGAGAGAGTTCTGCTTTTTCCTCTTCCAAGTCCACCATCTCTCTCTCCTCCTTCTCTTTTCTTCTCCTCCTTTATGTTCTTCTTCAATTACGAGGGTGAGAGAGGTTACTAGCAGGGGATACAGGTAGAGGTTACAGTGGGCGTGTTGCCCAGGATCTGATTCGACATTTCTGAGGCAGGCATTGATTGGACATCGCCAAGGGGCTATTTTCGGACTTCGCTATTGCGATCTTGGTCTTCTCCCTTACCTCCATCTTCGTCCTTCCTCTCCCCCATCTCTCATCTATGGTATCTCCCCATGTGTGTGTACAAGGAGGGACCTTTCTTTCTTCCTGGTGTGCGGCCCCTCCTCCTCCTCTCACACGGGTGATGTATGATGGGATGTTGTGTCGGTCCCGGTCAGGTCAGGGCTTATCTCAAAGTCTTCCACTGCGCTATTATGTGCCATTTTGTATGTATTAGGATGTACACTACTCGTTGAGATTCCACTAACATTGCATTGTCCATTCAGCCCTTTTCATCACCTTGTGGATCCTTGGCTGTACATACATTGCCAACTGGGCATGTATCACTATGGTGGACCTCAAATGATACCTGCAGTAGAAGAGGAACTCGGACATGATTCTGGATCAGCCATTCAACATTGTACTATTATTTCTTGTATGAATAAGAGAGGGGGAGTAAAGGAGGAGGAGAGTGTTGGGCGAAGAAGACGAGCTTTGTCATTTGTCTATGCTGGTGTACATCATCTTCTTCTTCTTTCTTTCTTCTTCTTCTTACCCTCTCTCTCCTCTCAAGTTCATTCATTTCTTTCTGCTGCAATCAGACTCGCTTTCATTCACACTTCGCATGCATGTAAAGTTTGTAAACAGGTTACGCAGCAAACTGGCGACGAGCGCCCACTCAAAACTCAGAGATATGGCAAACAAGAATACAGTTCAGATACAACTCGCTTCAGATGTCTATGGCGACTCAGCGCCCGTACAAGTCTTTGTTCGTTACTCGCTCGTCGCTGCTTATCACACACAGGATCACCCTGGATATCCCACACGCATACTCTGCACACTCACACACTCACACACTAAACGCTATCTACAGCTATGGCGACTATGGCCGCTGCTAACCTATTGCTATGGCTAAGCTCCTTCTCTCTCGCCCACTTCGTCTTCGGGCTCACTGCAGACCACCTTGCACAAGTCGTCGTGGCAGCGCTTCCGCATGGCTCACGCAAGAATGCATGAATGGTTGGGCGCTGCCCTTTGATCTATACTTTTGTGGCTCGTTGGTCTGGCCCTTTCCCATGCCCGTAGTGCACACAGTCCCATGCGGTACTTGCTTGATTGGACTAGGACTGACTGGGACTGGGACTGCTGACTCAGCACAGGTAGACTCCACTACTTGCCCACTTGCCTTAGCCTAAACGTGGGCAACTTCGAAAGGGCACTGGTAGGACCTTCCAGAAGGCCGCGGACTTAGAGCTCAAAGTCGTACTGGTCTATCTCAGCGGCCCACCTAGTCAACTTAGGTGTCATTTCGGCCTGTGTCTTCATCCACCTCAGAGTGTTGTGGTCTACATACACTTTGAAGTGCCTCCCAAGCAGGTAATGCTTCCAGTGGTCTAAGGCCTGCCTGAGAGCGTAGAGTTCTCTCTCGTACGTCGAGGTAGCTACCTTCTCTGAGGGCATCCTCGCTAACATGAACTCCACGGGTCTATAGCCATTGCCGTCGTCCTGCTGTAACACGGCGCCTATACCATACTGACTGGCGTCCATGGTGACGACAAATGGCAAGGACGGATCTGTTACTTTGAGGACAGGGTACTCTATCAATGCGCGCAAACGTACAAACTTTATCCCACTGCCAGATTGCCTCTTTCTTCAGCAACCTGCGAAGGGGAGCGGTGATAGTTGAGAAGTTCCTCACAAACTTCCTATTGTAGTTAGCCAGACCTAAGAATGACCGCAACTCAGTCAATTTGCGGGGCGTCGGCCAATCTCTAATCGCCGCTATCTTTCTGTCCTCAGGCTTGATGCCATCTCCGTCTAACACGTGGCCCAAGTACAAGACTTGTGTCTTGGCCCACTCGCACTTCTTCGGTTGATCTTGAAGTTAGCCTCTCTTAGCTCCTCCAAGACCTGCCTCAAATGACCCCGGTGCTCTTGGAGGGTCCTACTGAACACGAAGATGTTGTCTAAGTAAACTACGATGAATCTATCTAACCAAGGCCTAAACAAATCATTCATACATCGCTGAAATGTAGCTGGCGCATTGGTCAGTCCAAAGGGCATCACTATGAACTCATAATGCCCATATCTAGTCCAGAATGTCGTCTTCTACTGGTCATCAGGATGGACCTCTATCTGATAATATCCGGACTTTAAATCGATCTTTGAAAAATATCTGCAACCCTGCACCCGATCCAAAAGATCGTCTATCCTAGGCAGTGGCTCAACGTTCTTTACTGTGATCGCATTCAGACCCCTATAGTCTATACACATACGCAACTCTCCTTCCTTCTTGGGGACAAACAAAACTGGTGCTCCAAAAGGAGACGGACTGGACCTAATCCAACCTTTCTCAAGGAGCTCATCCAACTGCTTGCGCAGCTCCTCTAACTCCCTAGGGGACATCCGGTAAACTTCTCCCTTAGGAGTCCTACTACCAGGCTCTATCTCTATTCTATGCTGGATCGACTGCGACACTACTCCTGTTGGCGGCTCTGTTAAGTCTTTAAACTCTTCCAGCAGCTTGGCGATGGTTGGATATATGGGTTCCTCTGCTTTGGGCTCGGTGACAGGTCTAATACAAGCTACAAAGACCTGATCCTCTAATTGCTCCTTTCTCACTAGTCGCACGAACGCGGGAACACTGAGACAGCAATGTGCCAGTGAGTTATCTACTCCTGACACGTGGAACAGACGGGCCGTCTTAACCTCGCCTGACGGTCTAGGGAGCCTACACTCATGCTCTCTCAAATGAAGTGTGGCCCCTGCTGCCTCTCCCCAGTCCATGCCTAGGACTATATCAAAAGGAAGGTCATCATGTACGAGGAGAGTCAGGGAATGGAGAGCTTTCTCCACCTTCCCATCTTTCTCTAGGCGGAAATACGCCTTGACTCCCTCTACGTAGTCCTCAACACGCATAGTGCGGTTGTCTGCGAGGACAGTAACTATGGGGTCTTCCAACTTCTGGACTTTTAACCCTAGCCTCAACTTCTTCAGCGCTCTACGGCTAATATAACTACGAGTAGCCCCTGAAAACCGATTCGTCAACTAACACTAGTTGTCCAGTACTATCTTTCTTCATTTTGGCCCAGGCTGGCATCCTCTCCTTCAACTCTTCTGCCACGCCTGTGAGGGAAGTGCCTAGAGAGACGCTGACACAAGCAGTCTCTGGACAGCTAACTAGGCACGGGCCTGCAACCTCTGTCGAAGGCTCATGTGGTGTGGGAGTTTCCTGTATGAGCGCGCTCGCTTCCCCACATGGCCTAGTAGTAGGGGCAGCTGCAACCCCTACCGGCGGCTGCCTTTTGACTCTTGGGCAGCCCATCGGGCCTGTCTATACTTAGGACAATATTTAATAATATGGGCAGGGTCACCCAGTAAATGCACTGCCCCTGCTCCATACGCTGCTGCCACACTCTCTGGTCTAGGCCCAGATCTTCCCATGGCCGGCTTGTGGCCAGCCTGGGTGCCAACCTCCTTGCCTTTGAGGTGACCTTCCACCTCTACACTGCGGGGACCGACTGGGACCTTGACGATTTGGCGGGGGACCTTGACCCCTACCTCCCTCTTGGCGGCTCCTTTGACCGCCAACCCCCTGTGCGCCCGGTCCTCGACCTCCCGTGGCCTGGCCCCTTTGGCCCTGGCCAGTCGGTCTTGACGATTTGGCGGGGGACCTTGACCCCTACCTCCCTCTTGGCGGCTCCTTTGACCGCCAACCCCCTGTGCGCTCGGTCCTCGACCTCCCGTGGCTTGGCCCCTTTGGCCCTGGCCTCCTCCTCTACTTTGCAGCCTCCCTCCAGCTGCGACAGCAGCATAGGTCCTCCCCTGGCCTACACTACTATCCTCCTCCTCGAGCCCCCACTCAATTTGATTGTAGGGGACCTCGTTTGTACCACCTTCGTCTAAATTAAGGATCAAATGATCCTTGGCCCTAACTTGGCCAGAGATGGTATGACCTTTCCACGTTTTGCCCTTATCTAAGTCTTTATGCCAGAAAGTGGAATTTGGCATAGACTTGGCCTCGAACAGGACCACTTCTCCACTTAACGTATCGTACGTTATGTTGGCCTATTGGGTCTTATCAAAGAAATGCCCTGACAAGGGCTCTGGCATGGCACGATAGAATAATTGGACCAACTGGGTCTCAGTGACCCCGTGGTCTGAGACAGCTACCAAGTCATCCATAACAGCTTTGAGTGCTCGCGCACTCCTCCAGTGTCGCGAGTGGATGATTTGCAATTTGTCAAAGGCCCTGACGCCCCTTGAAACGTCAACGAACCTCTCACGCAGGAGTTGGAGAAAAGTGGAAAGAGGGGTAAGCCTAGAATACGCAATCATATTATGCTCGCAATCAGCGGCGCGCGCAAGAGACCTTGCGAAGCTGACTGCGTTGTCCTTCAATGCATGGAAGGCTACAAGCACTTGCTCCTCGGGGGCGATATGCTGCAAATACACATATGTATTAATGCTAGCCTCCCAGTTATCAAAGCTATCGTCCTTTTTCCCGCTATAGGCATCAGGAAATTTGAGTTTCACAGGCTCTTTGCGAGGACGTGACGCGGCCTCTACTGTGGCCACCACTTTGGCGCCCTCAATGGCGCCGACACAGAACTTCTCTGCGCCTTCCTTTAGTTTCTTGACTTCGGTCCCGACGTGGGTTACCACGTTGCGCGCAAACTCCCTAAAACCGGACCGGATGGCATGAAGGGTCACATCTTGACCCTTGTTGGCCTGATGCTCCTCAAGCCAGGCCTCACTCAGAACCTCAAGGTACGCCAGAATCTTATCTAATTTCGCGGGGGTTTCTGCCTGTGCCTGAACCTCTTGTCTACATGCGCGGATCTTCTCCACCTCTTTGGCCACCCGGTTGGCCTCTTCCCTCCTTTTCTTTTCTCTTGCCAGCCACAACTTCCACTCCAAACGCTTCTCATCTTCCTCGGTCTGGCATTCCAGGGGGTCCTCCTTTGCTTCTAATTCCCTGGCAAACGCTTCTCTCTCCTCCTGTGGCACGTACATCAGTGCCTCTTCGTCTTCTCCCAACGATAAGTTAGCCACCCACTCGCTAATCTGTTTCTCCATCCATGCCTCCTCTCCCTTCGTGCCACTTGTCTCTCCTCTATCTCCCCCACACCTCCCTTCAAGGGGTTCTTCTTCTACCTCCTCCTCCTCTGCTGCTGCTTCTTCTTCGGCAACCTTCCTCTTCTCTTCCTCCTCCTGTTTTAATCTTCTCATCTCCGCCTCCAACTTCTTCTTCTTCGCCGCCTGCTCCTCTGCGATTGCTTTTAACTTCGCCTGCTTAAGGAGCCCTTTCTTCTCCTTCATCTCCTTTCTTTCTTTCAAAATGGCAGCGGCACGCTCCTCTTGAGCCTGCGTGTAGGGGACGGTACTCTTTCCACTTCGAGTATCAACCATGGTGTCTGGTGCACAACCGAACAACGGTTCCACTCCTCACCACTTAGACTCTACCCCCTGACTGACAATACCTACTGACTCGATCTAAGGACTTACAGAATCCGGACAGGATCCTGTCAACTAGGGTCTCTAGCCTAGACCTACTCTAAGGCTGTCACTACAGGACCTGTTGCTGATCGGGAGGCATTTAAGGAGATCCCCCGTAACTCCTTAGGAATTATTTAACGTCGCAGACAGGACAACGCGATCAGCAGGTCCTCTCAAGACTTAAACGGCCTGTTGTGCAGCCCGCCGCTCGGATTTTGGGCCTACCGTGCCACACGGAGCAGCCCGCCGGTCAGTACAGGTCCTTGGGAGGGTTCGTGTCCTCCAGGACAGTCGAGTCGTCAGACACGGCCTTTAGCCCTACTCAGCCCGTGTGGGTTCGGTCAACAAGGCCCTATCCTTATCCACAGAGTTCTATCACCTGGACAGAAGAGACTCAATGCAGAAAGAAGAGACAGACAGACTTGACTCAGCAAGTACCACAGAGTGTGTGCACATCCATAGGGCGAGGGGATAGGCTGAAGGCTTGGCGAGATTATACCGGCTCCAGCTTGGTCAAAATCGTGGTCAACGGTCTCGGTCAACGCTTGGTCAACGCTGCAGTCAACCCCTGCTCAACTCTCGGTCAGCTCCCGGTCAGCTCCGGTCAACGCCTGGTCAACGCCCAGTCTGTGATGACCCATCCAAACATGGACTGAAACACAGCTGATTTCTGAGTTTTGCTCATAGACTGAATGCCCTGCTGAGTTTCCCGCTTGGTACTATGTTTATGTGTGCACACTTGTTGGACTGCATGTTTGTCTAAGTGCTGGTTGGCTTGAGTGTGTGTGTGGCCGTGCCTGTCTGAGTGCTGGTTGGCTTGAATGTGTGTGGCCGTGCCTGTCTGAGTGCTGGTTGGCNTGTGTGTGGCCGTGCCTGTCTGAGTGCTGGTTGGCTTGAGTGTGTGTGTGGCCCGCAAGGGCACTTGCTCGTTCATTGGGCCCTCAGGGCCGGTACTTACTTGTGGCCATGACATTGAGGGGTTGCAGCGGGGAAAAGCACTCAAGTAGCGGGTAGGCCGGTACCGCACCTGGGAAAAGCCATAGCTGCTTTGGGTTGTCTTTTGGGCATCTGGGCAAGGCCTAGTAGTCCGCCATAGCCTTGGCCTATGAGGATGAAGGAAGGTAGAGGCGGTCGTGGCTATGGTGGACCTCAAGTGGTACCTGCAGTAGAAGAGGAACTCGGACATTGATTCTGGATCAGCCACTCAACGTTGTATTATTATTTCTTGTATGAATAAGAGAAGGGGGAGATAAGGAGGAGGAGATTGTTGGGCGAAGAAGAAGAGCCTTGCCATTTGTCTTTGCTGGTGTACATCATCTTCTTCTTCTTTCTTACTTCTTCTTCTTCTTCTAATCCTCTCTCCTCTCAAGTTGATTCATTTCTTTCTGCAATTGGATGGCATTGTACTTTCTGATGGATGTGTATCTCGAAATTGGCAAGGATCATAATATTGGTATCAGAGCGGATTCTACTTGCTGGTGAGAGTTGACTTTGCTGCCCTAACCCTAACCTAAGTGGATGAGGGCACCGCTTAGGGTTAGGGTTGGTTGGTGAAGGGAAGTGGGGCAGCGTGGTTGGGGGTAGCTACCCCCACCTGGTTAGGTCATGTGGGGTCGACATAGAACCTAACCAGGTTGTTTGAGAGTGAGATTAGGGTGGCGAGACATTTCGAGGAGGCTTCATGCGGTGATCTGAGAGAGGCGACAGTGAGAGGCACTCGCACCTGGAATCTGGTTCAAGGGAGACACTTGGTAACTTAAGGGCTTCCCTCGAGTAGGCGAGCTTGAGGGTCAGCGGCCACTCTGCATCAACGGACTGCAAGTTGCTACTTTGTTCTTCAGCATCGAAGGGGGATCCGGCGTTGCACTTTGGTGTTGGAGTCAGACCCTCCTAGGAGATAGGACACTAGTGTAGGGGTAGCGTTAGAGGGGTTAGGAGGACCACATGAGAGGGGGGTGAGTTCTATTCATCTCGAAGCTCAAGGCCACTCAGGTAAGTGTCGTGCACCTACGGGATGCCCATGTATGTGTGCATGGTATTGATTGTCCTGCTAGGGTACTCTGGGTTTCTTTTCCTACTCCTCTGTGGTCTTGATGGTGTGATTGAATGCATGTGAGCTACCTACTCACCTGATGAATGGAAAATGAAGTATCTTGATTTAAATGCCGAGTCTTTCTACAGTGCTTTGTCTTTCATCTCTGAACGGTTTAGTCTGTAGGTTCTGCCAGAAGTTGAAATTTCGTTTTTCAGTGCAGTAGAGTCTATGTGGAACTCCTCTTGGTTGGGACCTGGTTGCGACCTACGTGGGACCTCTGGAACCCAACGGGACCGGGCCCAAACAAGAAGAGCCTCTGGACCCGAATCGGTTAGGCATTGGCCCCTTGTCTTCTTGGTTGGGATACGGAGTTCGTTCTTCTTGGATTAGGACACCGACTGCCGAGGGGATCTCGGCTGAGACGTTTTGCATGTCTTTCGGTTGCACGTTCGTGGCTTGACTCGCACCCTGTACACCACTCAATTCTCCATTGTTGCATTTAGTAACTCGTTGTCTGGTTTGTTGTACGGTCATGGAGCTAGTCAGACTGGACTCGAGAGGACCTCGTATGCAGTCTGATAAGACTGGGTCGCTGGATCAGACCTCTCGTTTGAATTTGTTTGTTTTTCTTTGGTTTGCTGCTCTCTACGTCCAAATGAAATGCTGCTCCGGCTAGGAGTTCTACCTTCTCTTCTTTGAGCTTTCAAGTCTGTTTTTCTGAGTGCATTTCCGATGCCCGTGGAGACCCGCCGCCGGAAGGAAGAGAGAGAGAGGAGGGAGAGAGAGAAGGGAGAGAGGGAAAGTGATCGTCTGGAGTGGGCAAGGACTGGGAAAAGGAGTGTTCGTCCAAGTGAGAAGGGGAGTGAACCTCTTGAGAGTCTAATTGATTCTTTTGCTGATTGGCGACTCTCTGACCCACCTGTCAATACTAGCGGTCCAAACATGGCTCAACTAACTTCAGTGCAATGGTGGGCCTTGTTAGAGCAGCCAATGATGCGGAAAAACCGTATCTACAAGCACTCCTAGATAGTGCAACCAAAAGGGAACAGGAGGCAGAGAAGGAGAGGAAGGAGTCATTGCTCAAAAGAGAGGTGGTCATCCTAGAGACTGTTCCCTCACTGATCGAGGAGCAATGTGGGGAACAGGTGCAGTTTATACTCACCGCCATTGTTCAAGTCAGGAATCTTGAAGATTATGCCACTCAGATCGCTGAAGTCTTCGCAAAGTTGCAAACACTGACTTGATCTAACTGATATGACCCGCCAGTACCACGAATTAACAAAGGAGGTGGCCGAGCTGCGAAAAGCCAAAGTGGCCAACCCTCTTCCTCTAGCCCCTGGACCTGAAGCTGCAATCGAAACTACCTCTGCCTCTCTTTTTGTATCTTCGTCCTTGAATGTGATGGCAACCCCCTCGGGACCTGCAACAGGTGCAGATTCCGCTATTGCTTGGACAAGCAACGAGGCTGGAAATTTTGCAACTGGTGCAGCCCCAAGATTGGAACCAGCAGGAGTTGGTCCCAGCTACGCCGGTCCCTATGTGGATCGTAAGGCGGTTCAAATACCGTCTAAGTACGACGGCAAAGAAGACATCGAGTCCTGGATCAGCTCCATGAGGGCATATTTCGAGGTTTTGGGGACTCAACCTGAGACCCAGTCCGTGATCATGGGAACGAATGTCGAGCCGGACGTGGGGGGGTTCTTAGAGGTCCAAGCTACGTGAGCTGGGATTCCTAAAATTGAACTAACAAGATGGCTTAAGGTCACCCCGGTTGCCTCCCTCGAGGAACTCCTCATTGCACAATACCTGGATCCACACCCTGCAGCAAGGGCAAGAATCCAGCTTGACAAAATCAAGCGCAGCAAGTGGACGGACTCCATGAAAAGCCTGCAGACCTACCTTAGCAAGATATTCGCTACACCCGGATTGGAATTGCCTGCTCAATCTTGCTTGGATGTGTTCAAAGGCGCGGTTCCCACCAGCTTACTAATTGCCTAGGCAGGGACTTCATTGGTTACACTGACTGCTTCACCTTAATGAAGGACATAGTCAGTCTCGAGGTTGTAGACCTCGTCACCACAGCAGACAGCAAAAAGCCCATGGGCGGCAGGCGGTTCAAAGGCAGCAACCATTTTGCTGTGCATGACCTGCTGGAGGTTGAAGAAGAAGCCGATGCAGAGGACCCCACTCTTGGTGACGACCAAGAATAGGACCCTGATACAGCTTCTTCTTCGGCCTATGAGTCTAACACAAACCACGAAGAAGAAAAAATTACTGCCTTCAAAAAGACTGCCAATACCAAGGGGCCGAGTCGGAGTGCAGGGAAGAACTATGTCCAACTTCCAAAGGGAGTCAAGATCCCACCAAAACCGGAGGATGCGACTAGTAAACCTTGGGTCGACCTCCGAATTACTGAAAATGACTGGCAGGGTAGACTCAAGAAGGGGGTATGCCTGCATTGCCAAAAAACAAACCATAAGGTACAAGATTGTTATAGGCTGCAGGGAAACCAGAACCGGGCGTAGAGTCAACTTCAGCAAACTCTACAGCAGGGGAAACTGGATCTGTTGCAAATCAGCAGTCCTCCCTTGAAGCGCAACCATCTCCTGAAGACAAGGCTGAGGTGAGTAATGTTTTGTATGTCGAGCCTTGGGAGGAGTCTGGGGCAGTCGACTTCCACTACCACTTGGAGCATTGGGCTGAGATGAAACAGCACCGTGCCCAAGGGACCGTGAAGCTGATCTTCTTCAAACTTCTCATAAACCATCGATATCTCCGTGTTTTGGTTGACTGTGGTGCTACGGCTAACTTCATGTCACCGCACGGGATACGGAAGGTGGGCTTGGGGATGAAGCAAGTGGCCTTGCAGAACCCTTGTCGAACCCAAGTTGGCAACAAAGAGGTTGTCTCTTCTACGCATGCAGTCAAAGGTGTGCGCACTACCTTTGACAAGGA